CTTAGCAATCATGTCATCGACATATACTTCAATTTCTTTATGCATCATGTCGTGGAAAAGAGTTGTCATGGATCTTTGGTAGGTTGCACCCGCATTCTTCAAACCAAAAGGCATTACTTTGTAGCAAAATATTCCCCATGGTGTAATAAATGAGGTTTTTTTTCCTTGTCTTCACGTGCCATTCTGATTTTATTATATCTGGAGAATCCGTCCATGAAAGAGAATACTTTGAAATTGGCGGTGTTGTCAACCGACATGTTAATATATGGTAATGGAAAGTCATATTTTGGACTAGATTTATTTAGATCTCGGTAGTCCATACACATTCTGACTTTTCCGTCCTTTTTTGGAACAAGCACTATGTTGGCTAACCACTGAGAGTATTCTAATGTGGCGAGGCACCCTGCATTAATCTGTTTCTGCACTTCCTCTTTAGTTTTGATGGCCATATTTGGGTGAGTTCTTCTCAACTTCAGCTTGATTAACGGACATTCTGATTTCAAGGCAAGTGGTGCTTCATAATATCAGTGTCCAACCCTGGTATATCTTGGTAGAACCAAGCAAACACATCTAAGAGTTCTTTGAGAAGCTCTATCATTTTTATTTTAACAGCTGGATTAAGCAGTGCCCCAATCTTGACCTTTTTTGTCTTCATCGGAACCGAGGTTGATCACCTCTACCAATTCTTTTTATGGCTGAGTGGAGGCTTCTTCTTGCTGAGTGGAGGCTTCTTCTTTTTTGGAACAAGCACTATGTTGGCTAACCACTGAGAGTATTCTAACGTGGCGAGGAACCCTGCATTAATCTGTTTCTGCATTTCCTCTTTAGTTTTGATGGCCATATTTGGGTGAGTTCTTCTTAACTTCAGCTTGATTAGCGGATATTCCGATTTCAAGGCAAGTGGTGCTTCATAATATCGGTGTCCAACCCTGGTGTATCTTGGTAGAACCAAGCAAACACATCTAAGAGTTCTTTGAGAAGCTCTATCATTTTTATTTTAACAGCTGGATTAAGCAGTGCCCTAATCTTGACCTTTTTTTTTGTCTTCATCGGAACTGAGGTTGATCACCTCTACCGATTCTTTCTACGGCTGAGTGGAGGCTTCTTCTTGCTTAAGCAGTCGAGAAATTTCGTCTGGAATATCTTCTTCCTCTTCATCTTCAACTTCGAATATTGGGAACTCAAAGTTTGGAGAGGGCACAGGGTCATGTTTTTCAATGGGGTTTTTGATGTTTAATCTTCACATATGATTGATTATTGCTTTTCAGAAGGACAGATAAATGCAGAGTGCATGCAAATATTGAAAGTGTTTATCCTTTTTTTAGGTTACCATTTTCCAAAAAAAAAGAAGCAAAAAAGTAAAAACAATAGCATGGAATTGAAAACAACATCTTTATTATTGATCGATTATTTCTTGAAACAAAGCCCGACAAACAAATCCTTTGCCTTGGGCAGAGCAAAGAGGACATATTTAAAAGAGGGGCCCTAAAAAACATCTCTTGCATTGGGCAGAGCGAGAGAATAAGACAAAGACAAAGCATTACTTAAAGATATGAACCACAGCTGGAACATCAACAATTATCCAATTTTGAGAAATCCTTCCTAAAGGATAGCAAGTTTAAGGATTTACAAGGGATATATATGTACAAGAATGTAAACATGCATATGCAAAGATGACAAAGATGTCAACAATAAGTCTCGCCCTTGGAACTAGGCAACATGTATATAAGTGTAAACCATTATTCAATAAAAGAAGTTAAACATGAGATATGGTATAAGTAAGGACTAAAAATGATTCAACGAACATATACAAGGTTTATGAACAAACACATTTGGTCATGGTATATAAAATTTGAGTGAACAAAGGAACATGGACACATATTTACAATACATGCTTCAGTAAACAACTTAAGAACCATGTTATGACTTAAATTAAATCAAGATCACTAAGAACTATCAAACGTGGTATGACAATTTACAACATGTATATACAAGGAAAAGAACATGAAAACATTTTTCATGGTTTTTTAAAGTTGACTTTTAAAAAATAAATGACCAAAATAACAAAACGTGATTAATATTAATAATGATGAATAAATAAAATAAAAGGGTGGACTAGAATAATAAAAGTTATTTTTTGGTATTTTTGATGCATTAAAAAAAGGAAAGAAATTAAATAGAATAATTAAAATTAATTAAAAGAAGTAAACAAAAAAAGAAGAAAATGAAAAGGGTGGTAAAAAGAAGGGGGATGTTGCCCATGGGGTTGAACCTACGCCCTTGTGTTTACTGCCTAAAACACTATCCATCAGGCCATGTGCTTCATGGTGATAACAAACGCGCGCAGTGAAATAAATAAAATGCTTCAAGTCATAAATGAACAAAAGAAAAAAAGCAAAAGTCTGCGGGGGAAGAGGATTCAAACCCCATACTTCTCACACACAAACACACAAACCAGTGCTACCACTAGGGCGCAATGGCAATTCATTAAATAAACTGCAACCACAAAATAATATATAAAACATGATTTCAAAATGAAAAACACGCACCACATGATCATCTTCTTCCTCCCACATTTCCACCATTTTTTGAATTTTCAGAAAACCTAACTTATCTATTTCTCAATCAATTTCAAAAGTGTGAAAACCAACATAACTCAGAATTAAACAAGGAATTTATTGGTATCAATAAATTTTATTTATATTAACTCTAATGTAAATAATTAGTCAGACATCAGTATGAACCTTAAAAACACAAATCAATATGAAATGCTACACATCATTGATTAGGACCAATTAACATACGGATTTTAATGACTACATCATGGCAAGTATTTTGGCAATTTAAATGGATGAAAATGATACTCTAATCATGTAGTTTCAGAGATGATCAAATAACCTATTGGAGTAGGTCCAATGTCTCTTCAAACAAGCTTACAAATGATGGATCATGATGCAAATAACTTCTCTGAACCTCTAGGATGTTCTTGCAATAGTTGGTTTGTGTTGAAACAACCTCAATCTTCTTGTTCGAATCCTCTTGCAAGAAACAAAAGTGAGAATTCAATTTTCTGGTTAAAGGTGTTACAGATGGAATATGATGGTTGAAATAGTTTGTATTATGTATTTATGAAGTGTTTGGAGTGGTAACTTGAATGTAAATGGCCAGAGTTGTGTTTTAAGGGGTTTTGGCTCCTAGTTGTGCATTTCTGCCTAAGTCACAATGCCTTACCATGGTCACTTGGCAAATTCATAACTTCATGCTCAAGCAAGACCTTTTCATGCTCTTGGTATCATTGAAAGAGAGGATCAAATACTACAATTTTAATGTTGATCACTTGGAAAGAAACAATTTGGATCATGGAGAAAAATGACCAACAAAATTGGACTTTTCACTTGAAAATATTTCTAAGTGTTGGACATTTTCACTCCTTGAAAAATCTAAACTTTGAACAATCATAACTTCCAATTTGTAAATTATTTTGAGTCAATTCTTTCACCAATTTGAAGTATGTAATACCATCTTTAAAATGACTCCTAAAGTGTTTCCATTGGATGCTTGAGGAAGAAGTTATGGTCTTGGAAAGTAGGGCATTTTTTCATGAAACCTTGTAACTTAGAAAATTTTGAAAACCCTAATTTCACCAACTTTAATCTTTTCCTTGATTTTCATGATCCTTGACTTGTGGAGTCCATGTTTGACCAAAAAATCTCAAAAGTCAAAATTTGACTTTGATGAACAGTTGACTTTTTCCAAATGAACTTGATTTCCTCAATTGCCAATGGATCAAGCTTCTTGAATCAATTCAATATATGAATGGGCTAAGATGAGATGCTTGAGATTCTTAGAACATGTCTTGAAGTGTTGAATCATGTCTTGCTCAAGAAGTCAAACCATGACTGAATTAGGTCAAAACCCTAATTTAATGCATCAGATGACTTGGGGCTTGATGAAATGGTATTGGTGGAATCTCGCACTTGATTGTTGATGTAAGGAGACCCTTGATCATATTGAGAGATTGAGGATCACACAAACCCTTGAGTGGTCAACTTCTTGAGCTCCTAGGTCCTAAAACCCTAAGTTGCAGTCAAAGTAAAACAAAAACACATACTCTTGTAATCTCAATGGATTAACAATGTATAAAACACACACATGAGATGATTGTTTTCATGTAAAATAAAGTAAATGAGGTGGAATTTTAAGGTTAAAAATTAATGTGTAACAATATGAGCTAATCGTTTAGTTGAGTAACCTAATGTCTAAAATTGAAACTCTTAAAAATAAATAAGTAAGAAACTGCAATCTCTCTCTCTCTCTCTGTAATCAAATATCCCTACACACTTAATAATAGAGATAAATATAATAGTATTGAAGATGTTAGTTCTTCAAGCGAATCTTTAGTTATGACCGACCTAATATATTAAGAGCACTAAGATGAATTTAAATATGACATCTTTTTAAATTTTAGTTTTTTTTAGTTATATTAGTAAATTTTAATCTATATATTATTTTTTCATATGTTTTAGAACACATAATAATTTTATAAACTAACATACTCAATTTCATTTAATATTTTTTGAATTGATATTAAAATCAATTGATTTTATCATTATTAAAACAATACTAATTTTATATTAAGAACCGGTTAACTTTCAACACTAAAGTTTTTTCTTTAAATTATTGACAAATTAATATCTACAGTTGCACTATGAATATACATTATTTTTCTACAAGGGCAATGCAAGTATATATATATTCTTTGTTTTTACCAGTTGAGTCTTAATCATAAAATTTTCCATAGTAAGATATATAGATTCAATGTTATGGGGCCAAAAAGAACAACTAGACAAGTCCTTTATACTTAAAGGATGTGTGAAAATCATGTAAGACTAATCAACTTGCAGGTCAAACCTTTCACGGTTCTCAATTGGTGGCACAACTCTCTCATCTCTCTCTTCATTACCCTCTGACTTCTATCCTCTATCACACAAATCTCCAAAATGAACCAAAAACCTCTTTTCTTCCCTTTCTCTTCTCCTCTGATTTATTCATACTGCATCACCATCTTCTACTTCCTCACCACAACCACTCTATGCTATGCTGTAGATCCATATTTTGAAGCTTGTGAACCCCAAACATGTGGCAACCAAACTATAACCTACCCTTTCTACATCATAGAAACACAAGAACCCTTTTGTGGCTACCCTGGTTTTGGTCTCACTTGTGACAATACTACCGGTTTTCCAATCCTTAATCTTTCTAATACCTTTTACATAATCAACCAAATATTCTATCAGAATCATTCATTAAGAGTGTCCAATCTTATGTTTTCAAGACCAGACACAAAAAAAGGTTGTCTTTCATTTCCACCTACTCAAAACCTCAGTTTTCCTAATAACATGTTCTATCTCGCACGTAATCAAACCGAGGTAAGATTATTCTTCGGATGCGACTCAACTAAGCTACCCAGAACTCTACAAAGGAACACAATTGGTTGCTCTGCAGGAAACGAAACGAGTTCGGTCGTGGCATTGTATGCGGATGATAAAAATGTAAGCTTTGTGTCGAAGAACTGTAGGGATGAGGTTGTTTATGCGAGGGTGGAAAATGGTGTGGAAGGAGGGATTGAAGAGGCTTTGAGAAAAGGGTTTGGATTGAATTGGATAGCTGGTGATTGCAGGGAATGTAACAGTACTGGAGGGAGGTGTGGTTTTGATGTACATATAGTCAAATTCAGATGTTACTGTACTGATAGAGTTCATGCTGCAAAATGTCATCCAGGTTTGTCTCTGCTTTCTTTATACTATCACTTTATAACTTATAGAGTAATTTAGCTTATGATTAGTTATTACTTTTTTTAGTTGCTTAAGTTACTTTATAGAAAATAGAACAACAGTTACACATACATAAAAATTGGTTCAAGCATCTCTCAAGGGACAAACAAAATGTCAAGAACAGGATTTCCTATTTCTGCTATAACAACATGAAACTGTAGCAGATTTCAGCCGCTCAATTTAAAATCAAAGGTCGATATCGTTTTATCATGTGAGACTAAATTTAAAATTTAAATTGTTTGATCTCAAATCAACAAATGAAATTGACTACTATATAAAAACAGCGTGTAAATATTACAGTAGTGAATTGAAATCCTCTAAGTCTTCAAATGTCACCTATGACATTAATTTCAAAATCTAGTCCTTATAAAATGTCAAAGATTAACACGGTTGTGATGCAAATAAATAATCATAATTAATCTATTACTCCTTGAATACGATATTGACACTGACACAACAACATTGATAATAATTTAAATAAATATAATTATAAAAATAAGTGTAAGTGTCCGATACCAATACAAACATAAACACGTTTTTTCTAAAGCATTGGTGCTAAACTCGCTACTTTTCTATTATTGTTATGAACCCGGACTACATAGTTTTTTTTTTTGTCTGTTTTTTTTTTAATTGTTGTTAGACTTAGACAACAATTTTAATTAACATGAATGTTTTAGAAGTTTAAAGATAAAAAATAATTTTATTATAAAATCTCTTATATTTTTGAACTAAATATATTTTTAATTAACTTTTTTCTTCTCCTCTTTTCTCTTTTGAACTAAATATATATTTAGTTAAAATATATGAGCTCCCATTATTTCTCTTCTCTTTTCTTTGTTAAAATTCCTCCTCTCCCGCTTCTTACATACCTTTAATATTCTTACATATAACTTATTATAAGTCCAAAATTCCGCATGATTAAAAATCCTAATAAAAATTTGTTACATCCAAAATTCAAATTCTCATCAAAATAAAATAACTAGAATTTTTGTCAACTCAAGAGTTTTAAATAAGTTTAATAGTCAGAATTTAAGAGACTTTGATATTATATAATCACCCAAAATTTTAAGACAATGAGTGTAAGGATTTTTTTTATCTTATATATTCAATATTTTTTCTATTTAAAATTGATATGAAACTTAACCACTTACATTTAAATTCAGTAGTCTCTCATACAAGTCTAACTATAACTCTAATATCACTTATTGAAAAGTTTAAAAAACGTCAAAAGTGTCAAATAGGCTAAACCTTTAGGATCTAAATACTTTAACCAGACAATTCCACCCAAAAAAAACTTACCACAGTGGATGTATAGATCTTTTATATTATTATCTAATAATTCCTCAATTTTTAGTAGATGCGAGGCTTATCGATTCACATTTGAATCTGACAATCTTTCTTAAAAGTGTGACTTAGCCAAATTATTATTTCTGATTCATATTAAGATTTCACTTTTATTCTCATATTGAGTTAACCAGAATCTAATACCATTTGTTATAGAATATGAAAAATGTAAGGAGTGTGAATGAATTAAAAACTTTAAAACTATACACCAAATATGAAAAAAAAACATTCGAGATTCATGAGATTTTGACGCCACATATACATCAAAAACTTTAAGACTTTGTCTATGGGTGTATGAGTTTTTTCTATTATATACCCAATAAAAGTGATATGTTTATTGATTCTTTTTTAAGAAATAACTGGTTAAATATTGAAGCAACTATTTTTTTTTATCCAACCTATTTGTAGTTTTATATACTACATTTATTATTAAATATAAAATTTTATTAAATCACATTAATTAAAAAATTAATAAAATATTAAATTAGTAATAATTAATATTTTTAATTTAAAATTTATTCTTTAGAATAGATGATTAATTTATATTTTCCATTATATTTCTTGTAAAATCATCTAAATAATTAGAAATATTTTAGTAAAAAATTAGTAAAGGAGTTACACATTTTAAGAAAATATTCTTAATAAATGAGAAATTAAGTCTAGTTAATATTTATTATGTGAATAAATAACACGTTGTGAGCGATGCATGTGATAAAAAAACTTAAAATAACTATTTGGACAAATCTTAAATATTTTGAAGATTAATCTTTGTAATCGATGTGAATGATACCTTAGTTTATCAATTATTTTAAGGAAATTTTAATGCACTCCTTATGTTTTTTAGTCACCATGTAAAATATTTAAATGTTTTTAGATTTTGGAGATTCATCTCTGGACACACTAAATTCTAGAAAAAATATTCTGGAAATATGTCTCTGTAACAATTTAAGGCACATATTATGCATCACACATAAGTCATTATATAAGTTTATTACACCGAAAATGTTTCTCCATGAATTTTACGGAGATGCATCTTTCTAACATATCAGATGAAGATTTAAAATTCATATTATGTATTATTTATGTGTACTCAAATGAAGATTTAAACCATACAAATGATATGTAAAAAATGACATACATAAATTTAAATGGTCCAAAAATGCCAGATATAAAAAAAAATCAATAAAAAGTCAAAAAAATCATGAACAACGATAAAGTAGCATGATGTCAAAATAAATTACAATTCATAGTACTAATACTATATACTAATGCACTACTGTGTATGTCGGACTACATCTCATCTGCCTCCTCTATCTCTTTTGACTCCTTGGGCTCCTCGGTCATCAATCTCCCTCGCCCTCAGGTATTGTCTCCAATATACATCAATGCTCTCGTGCCTTTGTCATGATGGCATCTAGGACCTGACTCACATCAGATCCATCAGATAAGATACCAGTGCCAATGTCTGCCTGCACAATCTTCATTATGCGACGACACATAGGCAAGACATCTTCAACATGAACTAGTTGTACCTGTTCCTCCTCTAGCATCTCCTGATGAACTAACCTCGACGGATCTCTTAGAGCAGCATGCACCATGTATGTATGTGAGACCTTAAAGAACTATCTGATGTACTCGTCGACGTAGCTCCAGTCGCTCACAGTTATGGTACTTCATGCCTCCTCCGGTACCAGACGACTCTCATAATCATCAAACATGTCATTTATTTGCCTACGTGTTAAAGCATGAGGAGCATAGAAAACATGGTGTTTGGGAATTATTTGAGTGTAGACAAACTACTGAATGACGTGCTCCGGCGGATGAGGAACAATGAAAAGCGATCACGAGCCAGCCATCTATAGTATAACATTATCTCGTCAAATGGACGCATCTCGCGATGATCAACGTAGCTGTTGAAGTGCATGTCCTCGGCAACCAAACTGTTAAAATACACTCTGAAAGCCTTAGTCGCCTAGTTTTTTTTGAGCAAGGAAAAAGCAGCAGCACGAGGCATATCCTCAGAGTAAGTCGATACACTCACTCAGCCGGAGATACACGAGAAATGTTGGAAGATCAAAGCCTGAAATGAAAAGTTTATAACACACAAATCATCAGTAATGGCTTTGCAAAGATGAAATGAAAATGACAAAGAAACATTAAAAGACCAATAAATATTACTGTCAGAAGTGTGATACTACTTGTGACCTGCTTCGTCTTCCATATACAACCCTCTCTCAACTTCGAATACAACTAGACCAAACAAGCGTCCCCCAATTGTACTCATGAATCCGCTCGAGTCATCGAAGTACTGTAAGTAGACGACCTCTGTACAAGTGGCACTCTTGTCCACAAAAATCGTAGTGTAGAATATAATATGTGTGCTCTCATAGCATACAATATATGGAGCGCCACCCTTTCATCATCACCCTTAGCTTGTTGTGCTCTTAGGATCTCAATTGTATATTTTTTTCCAGGTATTCAAACCTAGCATGAGCAGCCTTGGTTCTATCTAACTCCTCCTTCGCCTCCGCTGGGCCAACCCTCATATAATCTACCATCATCTCGAGTGTCTCATCTTTGGTAATCCTCCAACGATCTAGAAGTCTCCCCCTGATCAGAAGATGTAACAAACATGAGACATCGTCGAGTGTGATAAGCATCTCATCAAGCAAGAGATAAAATGACGAGGTCTCCGAGTGCCATCTCTCCACGAATGCATTAAACATCTCGTAGCTGACCGACCGTAGTATAACCGGTCATGCACAAGTCTTTTAGGCAAGATAAGGACAAAAGTGCCTGAAACTAATCCTCGTTCAGTTGAGGCAAGCCAGTAATCTTCTGCCCATGGTTAAAAAATAAAAATCAATGTCAGAAACTTGTCAATTAATATAAACGTAAGTAAAAAAGAATGATTCCAACTAATGTTACATCTCCGTCCCATATATGTTTGACAGTATGGTCTGGGTATAGAGGCAATAGTGACAAATCTACAGGGCCTCCTCCAAATGCCTCTGGCTCGGTATCTGCAACAGCCTCACCCTCCGGAGGTGGCATTGGCTCATCAAAATCAGCACTAGGAGGTGTCACTAGCTTAAAGGCATCTACAATATAAGGTGGCAGTGGTGCCTCCACTACCACTAGTGACTCGGGTACCTCATGCACATGAATAAGGGAAACATGGTGTCTGCGGGAGGCTGAAGGGAGTGATGCGTTGGTAGATGAATCTCGTCTCCTACGGGAAGAAGAAGATGGAGAAACATGAGAAGAAGCACGAGCCCCAAAAATAGATGGCTATCATGTCTCACTGATGCGTGTTACGCAACCCTCCCGTGCCTCAGTTTATCGTGTCTATCATCCATTATACTTATAAGTTAAAGTAAAATAGACAATTAATGCAGGCAAACAACACCAAAAGCAAGAAACTAAAAATAAAAATAATCGAGAAATTCCGGAGATGCATCTCCGGAAGCTAGGAAACTAAAACGTTGAAAATTTTCAGAAATGCATCTCCAAAATTTTCTGCATTGAAATTGCTTCAATGACGCCAATGTACCCATGCAATCCCAAAAAAAATGTTTTTAATCATCCTTTTCAGCTAACAAACATGTAATACCTTGTGTATAAACTTTCATACACGCAATTTCTACTCATTTCTA